AATGCCAAACTGAAAAACCTAGAGTTTGTTCTATATGAAATTGATAAATGATGAGACCTATCCCAAATGCTTCTTGGCATTTATCATTGCTATCAGGTTATTGTTTAACAATCTGCACTTTCCTATTGTCTAAAACATTACAACAAACATCAGAGAGAAAATCAGGAAAAGGGGGACTGGGGATTTAGCTCAGCAGCATAAGCGCCTGCCTTGCAAGCAGGCAGTCGTGAGTTCGATCCCTGGTAATAAAGAATAAAAATGAAAAAGACAAAACAAAACAAAACAAAAAAAGAAAATCAGGAAAAGAAAACAGAAGAAAGCATTCCATGGGCATCCAATCATGGTACATGAACATTGCCAAAAGGGAATCAGAAGATTGCACACCAAGGATCTCATTAGATTAACATATAGGGTAGAGGAAAAAAGACTTTCTGAACCCTTCCTTTTACAAATTGAGAAGCATTGGTCCCGCGACTTTGAATTTCTCTCAATCAGTGTAAACTGATGACCCCAGATCTACATTTCTGACTTCCACCACTGTCCTGAGCAGCACTAGACCTATTTACCCAGCTGTCTGCTGCACATATGACTTGACTGAACCATGAGCACTTGCATTTCCACATGGATTCATCATTTCCCCACCCTCTTCTGCTTTGTGTGTTTTATTCACCATCATTATTTAACTAAATTTTCTCAGTATCTAACCTGGAACCAGCAGGCCATCCTTTGCTGAACGTGGGAAACATTCCAAGAGTGGGCGTGGTGAACACCACCCACTGGTTCTACATCTAAGACACCTGTCGCTTGCTCCTTCTGTCCCCTTCTCCTGGCTCCACAGCATCTTCCCCACATTAGCCTCCTTATCTCTTCCTTTTTCCTTCTTCAGTCTTTTACGCATGTGCTGCCTTGTGAGATATTCTCCTCTCTTTCCTGCCTGAAAAACATTGACTGCTTTCTCAAGACCCAGTTTAAACATCATCTCCTCTTTATGGTGTTCATCTATTCTGAATGTGGGCTCCCTAGATAGTTTACCAACTTCTAACATGAATACTATTTATATGTTTCCCTCTTCCACAAATAAAGAGATCTTTTGTTCCGTAGTTAGGGAAACTGTGGTCCTCAGAAACTAAGTGACAAACCCAAGTTGAAGTTCACTCAGTTTGCCAGTAGCAACACCAGGAGAAGAGTATATCCTAAAAGCAGAGCCTATGCACAGACACTGCCAGTGATGAAAACACGCCCCACCTTTTAAATTATAATTATCTGCTGAGCTAAATCCATGGGTGTATTTGAGTTTAAAGTAGCAAACCCAAAGATGTGTCCTGCCTTGGAGGGAGTAGGGCTTGTCAATTAATTCCCCAGCCACTGGGCCTGAGAGCATTTGCACCAGAGAGCTGAGTGGAGGTGTTCAGGCCTTGCTCAAAGGACAACCCATGAAGAAGTACCACTGATTTGAGAGTCACCCATTTCAGCTCCTTGGAGGCCTTGTCATGCAGGAGCCTGTCACTTTTCATCTCCATCTCCCTTACCCCTGAGACCAAAAGTCAAATTCAGTTTCTGCTCACTTGTTTGATTTTTGTGTGGCTCTTCTAGCTCCAGAACCTTTAGCAGACAGCTTCCTTTGAAAATTCAAGGTGGAAATCTCCAAGCAGAGCTTGTGCTGTTCCTGACAAGTGTTAAATCGATGGAAAAATCTCTCACTGGAGCCTGTCTTATCCCAAGACTTGCTAAAAGGAAAACGCTCTTAAAGGCCTTTCTCAAGACTGTGTCAGCTGAAAATCCTCACCTTTATTCTCCCAGGTGACCGCAGTCTACCATCACCTCTCTGGCTATCAGAGACTGTGTGAGGAGATCTATAAAGGAACTCACTCTCTTATGAACAAGAGGTCAGATCTTCTAAGGAGCACTCAGGAAAGTAGAGACCTGAGATAAAATTGTGAGGACAGGATGAAAGTCAGGGGCTGGAATGGGCTGCAGCTTCGGGCTATGATCCAGTCCTTCCAAGTGTTCTGCCTGCTCTGAGACTTTCTACCTTCTCTTCCTATGGCCGCCATAGCACCCTTCCCCATAAGCTGCTGAGGAGCCCAAACCCTTGACTATTTCTTCTGAACATAATTGAAATGGGCTAATACTTTCCCTAGGAGATTCAGTGACACACTGAAGAAAGCAAACACAAGATAGATCAGTGGCACTGAGAACAATTCAATTCATGCAGGACCACTGTATCTTGATCTTAAGAATCCAAGAAGCAAGCATAAGCACCCATCACCAAGATACCCTGCCATTTTTCCCCCTTGCACTTGGAAGGTGACGTGAAGCTGTGTAACAGTAGAGAAATTAAAGATCTATTTAGGAACTAAAATTGGTAGAATCTGGAGAAGTGTTAGACATAGGATGGAAGGGTTAAGTCTTTTTCTTCATATTGTAAATTGTTTGTGAAACTCAAGCTGAAATTCCCTACCCTGTTTGGATTTTGAAAGTGATATTGTTTAAAAAAAATTAATATCAAAAGAAGGGAAGTCCAGACAATTGCAAGAACAGGACAGAAATTTTGTTACTAAGGAAGATAGATGCAGCAATGCCACTTAGCGATCTGATGTGTTAAGGGAAAAGTTACAATCCAGTGCTCACATTTTAAAAGTGCAGTTAATGAGTTTTAACAAATTTCCACACTTGTGTAAGTGCCAACTCAAGCAAGGTGTAGATCTTTTCTATCACCTGAAAAATTCCCTTGTAGTCTTTCCAGTCAATAGCCTTAACCCACCCCCAGATGTGCTTCTTGTCACTGTGGGTTAATTGAGCATATCTGGAATTTCATATAACTGGAACCATGCACTGTATAATCTTTTGTGTCTGCCCTTCTTTGCTCAGGATTGTTTTTGGAAGTTCATCTCATGTATATTACTTTATTGTTATTTTTTGCAGAATAATATTTCATTGTTTGGATATATTACAATATGCTAACCCAGTCACCAGATGAATGTTTAGATTGCTTCTAGTTTTTAGCTACTACAAATAAAGATACCCTGGACATTTATGTATAAATCCTTGGGTGGAAGTATATTTCCATTTTCTTGGGAAAATATTTAATTTTAGAATCCGTAGGTCATATGTTAAGTGTATATTTAACTTTATAAGAAACTGACAGCTCCTTTTTTTAACCAACAGAACACTTCCTATATTATTTCATACTTCAAGGATAAAGAAAAAATAGATTTAGCCCAATCCAACTTGAATTAAATTAGTGAGATCTGAATTAGTTAGATTAAATTATTGTTAAATGTTAATCCGAAAATAGTTTGGATTTTTAAGGCACATTAAAAGGATATTTCTAAAAGAGAATGATGTGCATATATCAGGGAGATATTTTATGGACTCTATATATTTTCCCCAGGAAAGAACAGTAGTATATCATTTTATCAATAGGATTTAATTTTATAATCGAAAAGTATAAAGTGATCCACAAACATACATGAAATATTACCATTTTACTCAATGGGAAGGCATCAGGGGCTTAGAGCACTATGAAATCATGTGGACCCAGTGTATGCCATAATGATATCGTTTTGAACTGATTTAGCTAGAAAGCTGGGGGTGCATTGCTAGGTAAGCCAGCAACTTGGGAAATTATTGTTCTACCACTCCTAAGAGTCCCCTGTGGGTGGGAGCCTTAACATTGCCCCAAGGGACCTCCCATCTCCAGGAAAAGCCTAATCATTGCTTAGACTCTTCTTTAGAAGCTGATTGACATGGGCTGCCAATCTAGATTATCACCAGAGAGCCCCAATTAAAACTCTGCCCATCGATCCTACCACCAGGACTTGGGACTTTAATACAAATCCACAAGTGGAAAAAAATTACCCCATGAGGGAAAAAAAGCAACATTTTTGTAGTATGCATTGTATTATAGGCCATATTATACATTATTTATAATTCATAGGTACATTTTTAACCCGTCCTATTAAATGCTGCATTGTTAGTCTAAACAAATTGGTATTCAGGATCTTTCTTTTCAGTTCTTCACTTTGAAAAAGGACATTTGTCTGGAAGAAAATACAAATGAAAGTGTATTTTTAGCACTGACAAAAATAGGAACTATTTTAAAGTAATTTGTAGTATTGTCATTGCTGGGGACTTCATTAGCCACCTAAAGAGGAAGCACCCAATGTTTTTCCTAATCCTCCAGATGAGACCAAGTTTAAAACACACACCCTCTATGGGGCTTATGTGAAGATGTTAAAAGTTGGCCAGAAAGGTGACAAGGTATCTTGGTAATTGAGACAATCCTGGAAGTCGGCTGGTCTGTCCAACTGCTCTGTGCTAATCGTGGGTAATCAAACACAGCAGGGCTGCACAGATACTGGCAAATGCCAAACAGCTTCCTGTAAGCATGGAATTCAGCCTTAATTAGTCACAGAGGAGGAATAGGCACATTTAAAGTAATCCACGGAATCATTATTGCTGCTTAAACGCAAACACGAAAATTGGTGTCTTTGAGGCATGCAGTTCTTACCTGCAAAGGAAAGGGATGCCAGTTAGCCAACTGACCTTCATAAAAAGGAGCACTTGTCCAGAGGAAGAATCCTGTGCATCATTTCTCTGTTTCATTTTATCCTTGGCTTCTTTTTCAGCAACTCTGTTTCACCAAGTAGATAATAAGCGTAGGGTGCACATTAACTAAGGGTGACCACTGACAAGAGACACAAATGGATGGTGAATCCATTTGCATACTTTGTGGGTGAAGTCTCCAGCTGGTGCTTGCAGTGAGCAGACAGACTGACTGTTAAGGTGGGGTTTTTCAGGGTCTCCAGAGATCTTCATCTCCAGCTATAACAGGATTAACAACAGAGGGGTTTCCTGTTGTTCCAGGACTGCAACTGAGACTGAGTGAAGAAGAAAAGGCACTTAGTGAACTTAGTCCAGTGTAAATTTCCCCCAGCAGCCTTGGGTGACTAGGCTCAGTCACAACTATGTGCACTTATTGAAAATGCTAATTCCAGAACCCGTCCTAGCCACCACTGGATCTCAGGCTCTACAAGAGGAAGGACTTGGAGGCTGAGAGCTGGTGAGCCTTTTAGATGGTGCTGCATTTGTGGAGAAGAGAGTTCCCTCCTGCAGGTAAGGTTTAGGGGGTTCTGCTCACGGGCTCTCTGGAGCTGTGTTTCCCCTAAGAATTATCACTAAAGGAGATGCCTACAAAAACATGAGCCGCCCTTTCCCTTCTTTATCACTCCCCAAGCAGGACTACATGAACCAGCAAAAGAGGCAGCGTCCCCAGTCTCCTCACAACTGCAGGTGTACCTGGAGCTGCAGCCCTGACTGCTTCCAAACGGAGGACCGGGAGGTATCTGCATTACGAGAACATGGCAAGGGCTTCAGCAGCCAGAAGTGGGTTGGAATTTCCTGCCGAATCTGTCAAGGGATCTTTATTATTATTATATTATTTTAAAGAGAAAAAATAAACAGTTTCAAAACGATAATGAATACAGTGTGTATTGTTGTCTTTGTAGTGATTAGAGTATGAGAAATATATCTTATTCAAACAATGTTAGCACAAACCTCTCTTCAGTGAAACTAGCTCTATACATCTTAACTATCTTGTGTGTGTGTGTGTGTGTGTGTGTGTGTGTATTTTTTTTTCTCAAGAAACCTTTAATGCCCCATGGAGTATTTGGGCATGAGTCCCATATCAACTAACATATCACCATCTCTACTGTCCCTGATAAAGCTGTAAAAGTGAGTTAGAGTAGCAGGTAGGCAGGCAATCAGCCTCCACCTTACACAGCTAACATGTCCCAAAGCCCCGCGTCCCAGAGGATGAAAAGGAAGGTGCTGTCTAACATTGTACGCAGGCTCCTCAACCCTTGCTAAGCGTGCAAGGCCAAGGTGCTGCCTGGTGTGAGGGCTCATTTCTTCCCTGTCCCTTTCTGAAAGTCTGGGAAGTACCTTCACCTCTCTGGAAACACTCATAACAAAATGTTCAAAAGCGTACTTAGCAGTTGACACCTAATTGTGAAAACTTTTCTGCATACGTAATTAAACCTTCCCACTCCCCGCAGCTTTGGTGTGCCTCTGGGCCGGGCACCTTGGGTGCGTCAGCATCTCCTACTACCCTCACCCCTTTGCTCTTCTATTATCTACACTCTCGCTAGGCTGTCTCTAGTTTTCATAGGGGAAATGGAAAAGTGGAGACGGGGGGAAGTGGAGAGGAAAGTCCAGAGAGAAAGGACAGGAAAGGTGACATAGATGCAATCAAGCTGCAGTCCCCTGAGCAAAACAGAGTTCCAGTGCTCATTGTGATCCCAAGGGTTGATTTCATAAGTGGCTTATAGGCACCCCCCTCTGTTGCCTCAAAATATGTGAGTGAAGCCTTCCCTTAGCCCTGTAGTATCTGGAGGGCTTTCCTGTTGTTCTTACAGGCAGTCCTCCGAATGGAACCCAAGATGACCCTGGCAGACTCCCTCCCATGTGACGATACCTTGGCTTTGAGATACTCTCATTTTCCCACTCCCCATTGTTTGTGGAAGTGCAGCTAGCACCCAACAGTTTCTATTTGTTGTCACAGACCCTTCTAGAAAAGTTTCTCCAAACACTGATTTTCAGAACATGGTCTGGCATTGAATTCGGTGCCTCAGAACTTCAGGGGTCCCAGGTCCAATTGTCTCTTTAGGCCCTCTCTCAGTAGGTAGGAGTAGAGGGCAGGTACCAATCTCCATCTTTGTGAAGTATGAGGGACAAATGCCCTAGCATGTAACCACCTCTGTCCAGAGAGGTTCCTTCTTTGCCTCTTCAACATTAATCCTTCTTGGGACTTCAGCATGGATAATGGACTAAGAATTAGCAAACTGAGTTTTTACTACCTCTTTGCAAACCCGCGCAGTCTATTCAACACTTTGCTTTGGGATATGGAGATATTTGGGATGTCATGGCTTTGTTTTTAGCTAGTCATTGTAACCTCAAACAGAATGGACCCAGGAGAGTCATGCTTTAACATCCATTGTATTTTTCGGGGATAGGAATGCTTTCCTCACCTCACCTTACTTTAGTAAAGTCTACTACACTAGGCAGTAAGTAAAAGAATCAGATGAAGGGGAAATGTGTAAGAATAGCACATCATTGGGGGAAGAAATTAGAGGAGGAACATAGGCTACCTGGAATTCACAGACATCTTAGGTTGTTTTGGTTTATATCTGGATGACCCCTCTCACCCCCAGGAAAACCTCATGGGCTCACAGGTGGTGCTTTTTGGAGGTCATTGGATCCTTAGAGCATGATACTAACCAGCAGGTTAGTCTACTGGTAAGTTTGTAGCTTAATGTGAGGTTGGGAGTTGAAACCTGATGGGAGGAGGCAGGTCCCCGGAAGTATGGCCTGGAAGAGCATATTTCCCTCCCTCCTTTGATCTCCCTCTGCTTCCTGTCACTGAGCCATGCATTCTCCCCTCTGCCATGTACCCTGCTTTTTAGCCACCTGACTATGGACTGAAACCTCTACAAACTGTAAGCCAAAATAAATCTTTCTTTCTTCAAGTTATGGGTGCCAGGTATTGTGTTTCATCACATAGAAGTAACTAAGACAGGGTAAGCGAGAACACTGAACTTCTTCCTAGAAAATAGGCAAACTCTCAAGTGAATATTATTTTAAATCTTAGTGAACTAACATTTGGGGGACTATTACTATGTTTATTTGTTAATATGTTGAAGGAAATATGCCAGATCATTTTTGTTGTAGGCACCAATGGAGCTTTGGAATAGCCTTGTTATAAGATGGTAACTTATATACTCTGCAGCTTGGAACACTGAATATTCCTGAGATACCTGACTTGTTCATTACAATTATTCCAGGCCTCTGTTTCCCATTTCATTTATTATCTTCTGTCCCAGTTTATTCACTTTAAGTCACTGGAGTTCCCACCACAATTCTGTCAATTATTTTAAGATCAGAATTATTATAAATATATTTTAATCTTCTCATTCCAAGATAATTCAATTATAGCATGATATTTTGGAGGAATAAAACCGAAATAACTTAACACAGAAATGATTTGAAAATTGGAAATAGGCAAATGAGATTACTTAGCATTTTTTCAGTACCAACTGGGACTTAAATGTCTATAACTGGGTTGTTTTACAGCTCCTGAAGGGGCAGAGACTTGTACATTTTTATGTGGTAGAAAATAACCCTGGTAGATTATGGTCTATGACCTTGTTAGATACTGACAAGTTTTATATCTAACCCAGCAAATTTATCTTAATATTACATATACTTAGTTGCTCAAATGCTCTTTGGAATGATTTTATCAATTTAATGGCTCCCTCATTCATAAGCAAGTCATATAAAATCTTTATGTCTGTTCACTTCATGTTTAGGAATCATAATTTTAATAGTAAGAAATTCTACCATTACTACTGAATTCCTTTCTACAGTGAGAATCTGTTGGAGGATTAGAGACCCATCTTTCCTGCGCATGGCTGTATCCCTTTGATCTGATACAGTCCTTCCTACAATAATAATATCACCCTCATAATCAGGCAAACAAGGGTCAGAAGTTGGGGTCCATTTAAAATACGCTGGCGTCTTCATTTCTTTCCATCCCCACTGCCAGGACCCTATTGCAAACCATTATCCTCTCCTTTCTTGAACTGCATCTAAAATCTCCCAGCTGATCTCCCTGCACCTGTTCTTGGGCTTCTCTCATGTCAACACTGAGAGCAAAGTGATTTTTAAAACACATGATCTGACCTTGTTTCACCCTTGCCTATTCCCTCTCTGTGGCTTCCCGCTGCTCTTAGATAAACCCAGTACCTTAACATGAGCTAGCGACCTGTGTGACTCTGCCTGGTCTCTTTCCAGTCACTCTCACCTTTGCTTACCTGGGCTCCTTTTCATCTCAAAACCTTTGTTCGCACTAATCTCTCTGCCCAGGAAGTTATACCTTTGTCTTTACCCAGCTAACTCCTACTTCTACATCAGGTCTCAGCATCCATGTAGCTTCCTTGGAAGTCACTTCAGTGTCCCTCCAGACCTTGTATCACACCAGCAATTGCATTTTCCCCATCTGTCTTTCCATCTACATTTCCTGAGATGGGACTTGTCTATCTTGTCTGCAGCCCTATATTCCATGCCTACCATAGTGCCTGACGCATACTGTATTTCATAGTTCAAAGAGGCACATGTTTTCATATTTCACATCTCTAAAATCAGGATGCATCTTTCAGTCATCAGTATGTCATAGTTTATTTGGCAATATTTTTCTTTTCTAGTGTAGATAAGAGATAAATTTATGTAATTCAGTCGAGTGTCTTAGATTTCAAGAAACATGGTGGTAGCTGCATGAAAGACTCCCTATTACAGAAAGTCTGTAGTTTCTTGGTTTTTCAACTTCATATAGAAATTCTACTACTTATGAATGTCTGGTTCTGAGTGGCTGTGAGCAAATATCAAAGCCAGACAGCCAACTGCTGATTTCCTCCATGTATAATGGGCAGCATCCAAGCGTGTTTTCCCAGGTGATAGCTGGACATTATGCACGTTGGATGCTCACAAGGAGAGAAGAGTTGTGTGTGGGACAACTTGTACAAGCTCTTGCTTGCTGCTCTGGCGTATGCTGATTCAACTTCTGTCAATTCCATGTCCCCAGCCACTGCTGTCAGCACCTTTCCTGCCAAAGTTGATGTCATATCAGCTGCCCAGCTCAGGTCAGCTGCCCCATCAGTGTCCTGCTTAAACTTCAAATAGCTGATTCTCTCAGCTAGCACAGCCCAGCAATCCTTTGGCTCTCAGCAGACACTTTGTCATACATTCAAATACACGGAAGCCCATCCAAAGCCCTGGGAGAAAAGCAATCAGTTCTAGAGTGCTTGATCCCCCTTATATCCCAGCCTTGGACACTAGTCCAGAGCCCAAGGCTACTACATGAGTGAATCACTTTTTTGAATCTAAGCATCACACTACAGTAATTCTAACAGAGAAGTCACCACCCATAGGGCTCAATAATTTGCAGTTTTGCCTTCAAACTAAACCCTTAGCATGTTTTCCCCTTTCTTGGGAATCAGGTTTTTCTTTGGTAGAGTTTGTTCTGCAAGGAGAGGAAATTCTATTCTTATCTCTGGGCATATCTTGACTCCAGCAGAAGGAGGTGTGAACAGAACACATTTGTGTTGTGCATTGACTTCTTTGACTTTTGGCTTGATAAATTTGCATCCGTGATTGATGAGGCCGTTATTTCTGGGCATCCTCCCCCATCATTACCTCTGCCTGGGGCTTTGAAAATAGCTGGGTCCCAGCACACTGACAGAATCTTTTAGTCACTTTCAATTCTGCCGAGGAAACGTAGGAATGGACTTTCAACTTCTAAATTAGCCTTGATTCCCACCAACCCTGGTGCCTTTTAGGTCACAAAGCATTTATAAACCATGTGGAACATTTTCTTTTTAAAAATGAAGAAAAAGAAGAGATAAAGAAAAAATGATTGAAGCAA